CTGATTTGCATGTAAATATTAAGCAATCTGGATGCATAAGAGAAGAAAAAGGAGTTTTACTCACATTGTTTTAAGATTGGGAAGGCTTCCAAACATATCAGTTAAATTCCCCTGAAGTTGATTGTGAGCCAGATTTCTAAATTCATCAATAATGATTTTGTTTAAGTCAAATAATCCAGAAGAAATTTTCAATAGAGGAAAAGAAAAGTTCCATTAACAATCACACTCACAAGTATTCAAGATTCGGCATCAGTGAAACTGAGTAAGGAATGCCTTGAGCAAACTGATTATTAGCGAGATTTCTGCAAATTCAATCACATGAAATTTAATTCAGAAACAAACAACTAAAACCATACAAATTTTTTGCATCATAACTTACAGCCGTTTAAGGTTCTTGGGAAGATTATATGGAATTTGGCCTCCATTTCCAAGGCTATTGCCACTCATGTCCCTGCACCATATGATGGAGATCAAACCATTCAAACTAATTGTCAAGAAAATTTATACAAAATTTCTCATAGAGAACCAAAGCGCTCACAGCTCAACTACAGAATTCATAGTGTCCATATTGTAGGACAATGTCCCGGAAAGTCCAAGATTTGACAATTTTCTGTAGAAAAACGATTTGTTCATCAGAAATAGAACTGATAACTCAAACATTTAAAGGGTTTTCAACAAGAAATAATTTATGAAACCCCACATTTCCGTAACCGATGATCCAGAGCATGTAATGCCTTTCCATGACTCCCCACAGGGATCACCACCACTTGCTTTCCAACCATTTAGTTGGCCCGGAGAATTCAGGCTAGTGAACAAGTTATTGAGACAGGAAACTGCGTAGTAGAATGTACAAAGACAGCAAATAAAGGTGATGAAATTATAAATATCAAGATCAAATTCCATGTTAACTAAATTTATCTAACTATATTTGAAGAGGGCCGGATCAGGCTATAACTGTATTATGATGCAACTTGGTGATGATAACTGGAAAGTTCTCAATTCCCAGAATCATGAATAGTTAGAAACAAGAAAGGGTACAACACAGGGAAGGGTAAAACTAAATTAGGATTAATCTAGCAGCACATTACAAACACGCACAAGTTTATAAAAGAAACAAAATAGAAATAAAAAAAAGTACTTCTTTAGTTCTACATCAAATTTAACAAGAACAGGTCCAATTCTTATTCACATCTAAACAAACCAACCCCATAATCCTAATTCACTTCTCCAAAAATTGAGGCTCAGAGGACGAAGTACTCAACATCCAATAAATAAATAATAAATAAAAGGTGGATCCAGCACCTTCTACATAATGCCAATGTTAATTAATCCCTGTTTTGTTCAAAAGGGTGCTGATAAATCTCAAATAAGCATTCAGTTAAACTTTACCAGTTTCTTCTACACTAAAGACCGGTACAAATAAGCGAAAATTTCCACCAATTTTGTTCAAAAATCACATTTTGACTATAAACCCGCCATTCCTTTCTAAATCCAAACAAAACCCAATTCCAAAATCCCAGAATGAGATAGATCCAGCAGCTGTGTACTCTACTTTTATTCATATTAACATGAAAAAGAACCCAAAAAATGCTGCTAACGAATCAAAGAAAGCTTTTTTACCATCAGATTGGTCAGTGGTGCCATTGACAGAGCTCGCCCAAATGCAAGCTAAGAAGATCAATAAGCCTAACTTCTCCCTCATTTCTCTCTCTCCCCCTCCTCTCTCTCTCTCTGGCTTCTTGTATTTATATATTGCTCCAATTATTTACCGTTGTTTAATCACCGGCCGCAGGGAAAGCTAGCTGGCACGAAAGGCAAAGAAAGAATCCAAAAGGGGCCACTGATAATCTCTCGAATTAAGTAGTTTTTTTAAAGGGGGGAAAAAGCGGCCTTTTTGACTGAGAGAGCTCAAGTTTAATTTTTTATAGCCGGAGAAAAATAAAACGTTGGCTTACAGTCACGGGTGGTCACAAGATCCGCAGGGAACAGGTAGGTTACTTGGGTTAGTCTAGACCGTTGGATTATGATCGGTTGGTTGATGCGTAGATTTAGTACTGTTGACTTTTGTTGCTGTTTGCTGTTTAGTAGAAGTAGGTGACCTTGAGTTAAAGTTACAGTCTTTACTGCTAATGATTGGATGGGAATGGTGATGCTCGTGATGTAATCATCTTCTTTTGTGGAGATTTTGCAAATAAGCCATTTGGTTTTGTAGTTTATTGTGTAGCGCATCCATCGGCATTAATTACGACATGTAAGAGCGCGATTCGAAACCTAGGATTACGCTCCATATGGATAATGATCCGACTGTAATCAAGTCTATTTCGTCACTTTAGAGCGTGTTTGGTTCACCCTAAATTATTGAAAACAATGTGTGTTTTTAGGATTTGAAACAAAAAGTAGTCTTTTGGTCGTTTTAGGATTGCAAAATTAGGTTTGTTTCATATAATTTTTTTTTTAGAAAATGTTTCTTAAAAAGAGAGAAACAGTGCTTTTTTTGGACAACTCATTTCCTATCTTTTGGCTAGGAAATGTGCTAGAAAGCTGACAACTCATTCTAGCTCATCATTTTCTCTCAAACCTTTTCTTATTATTTGGAAATGAAACAAACTTGAGTTTTTTATATGATTTCCTATTCTTTACTTTATCATTCCATATCAAACACGAGTTTTGGATTCCTTAGATATCCTAAAAAAAAAATTAAAGTTGTTTTATTGTCAGGGAATTCATTTCCATAATTTTATGGAAATGAACCAAACAGCCCCTTAGTGGGTCATAATCAATTGTAAAAAGTTTGGCAAATGGATGTATTATATAATCTATCGCTGTTGTCAAAATAATAAACAATGACATAACTTAAATTTATCAAAATATTGGGCCTTGAAATTCTATGAGGTGATGATGAGTATATACGTCTTTTACTTGGCCAGACTCTGATTTATAATCCACTAAATAATAAGTCGAGATACTTTCATTTTATATAATCCATCAAAAAATAAGCTGAAGTATCTCCAGTTTACATAGAGGATGTTTGGGGTCACATTTTTTTTTGTCGAACTAGCTTTTAAGCTAGCCTTTTCATTTCTATCATGTTTGGTAAAATATAAAATAAGTTATCTTATAAGTCACATTTAAAAAAGCTGGTATACCCCAGCTTTTAAAACACTTATACTTATAAGCTTACCTAAATAAGGTAAATTTAACCAAATAAATTACTATACTACCTAAATAATTTTTATAATATTTTTATCATAAAAGCCAAAAGCCTCTAAAAGCTAGCATAACTTATAAGTTTTAAAAAATAAGCATTCCCAAACATCCTCATAATCCATAAAAAATAAGTTGGGATATCCCAGCTTATTTTTTGGTGGATTATAGATCAAAATAAACCATTTGCCACCATCTCAATCTGGTTTATAATCCATTTTAGTGACTTATAAGCCACTTTCACCGTTTGTCAGACATGCTCTATGGACAATATGCTATTATTAGTTTTAACATGCTTCTTATCATTAGATTCTAGCTACATAAAAATGATTTCAAAAAGCAAAGACATAAAATAGATATAACCAATGTCAAAACATAGTGCAATTATAATGTTTCTTTTATATCCTCTCCCTCAGATAATGTTATAAGTATGATTATTGAGGGAAATTCCATCCTTTCATCTGTCTGTGGACAGCAAGTTTATGTCTTCTCGTATCTATTTATTCATTTTCATCATGTGACTGTTAAATAAAAAATTAAAGTATACCTTTCACATATTGTGCTCATTCAACTCTTTTATTATAGAGAATCAGATTCAAAATAATAAAACGGCTAAGTTAGAAGATAAGCTACATTATATATGGATATATATCTGCCTTCATCTTTTAGATCTTTCATAACTATAAGCTACATTTATTGCAACATGAAATTATTTCTTGTTTTGTAAGAAAAGGACGAAAAACAAAGCATTTCACTAATTGAGTTAGTCTTTGAACAATTTAATCCTTTTAAAATGAAATTAGGGGGACAATGTATGAAATGTTGGGAAAAACAAGAAAAAATTAGAAAAAAAAGCAAAACAAGCCGCACATGAATGAATGAAAAAAGCAGAGACTTAAGGACACCATTACAACTTAACTTAAAGCTCGAGATACTTTACAGAAATGCTGAATCGCCCTCTAAATAGATGATTGGCCTTGTAGAAATTATACCCCACCTATGGTAGCGTTGGGTCTGCACAATACTTTCGAGGATGAGATGACTGCAGTCCAAAGAAACGCTCTCTTCTGTTGAACACCTCGACTACAACTTCAGTTCGTCAGAATGTTCAATACTAACAACTTATAGAATTGTAAAAGAAGACAAGAGGAGAATTCCTTTTTATTTTCTGTGTGTTTTAAAATGAACAGAGGAAGCCCTTTTTATAAGGTTCGTGTGAGCTAAAGGGTTAGACAAAGCTTTGAACGTCAATTATTGCAACGTTTGTAATGACTATCATTCAAACATTGCATGTACCGTACGAAACGTTCAGTCTGGTTTAAATAATGCATATGCAAAAGGAGCGAATGCCCTTGCACTCGCGGGACCGTTCGCGCACTCGCTTATATACCAATACAAGTGTATAATTCCAACACGTTTGTTATACCATATATAACACATATGTTAATTTAAACCAACTAAAATGTATTCAATTAGTCAACGTGGGACTAAAACTCACATACTACTAATTAAACATGTTTAAATTTTCTTTAGGAAATGCAACCACATAAATGGTATATTTTCATAAAAATCCTCTATTATTCATTAATATCAGTATGAAATAAGGGAAAGATGGGTAGTTGCACGTAAAAAGCCACACACCAACTTTTTTTAAATCTTTGTGGTGATGGTATGGCACCATTTTCCTGCCGTGGGACCAACCCAGATGCCGCGTGCCACGTCATTATATACTAGCGCCATCCGGCAGCCTTTGTCGGTGAAGTATTGGAGGTACGATCACCATAGGAGGTGACATTACCTACCTAATTCTTCATTTTGTTGGGATTAGGCTCTCCCGTGCAATCAGAAGCAGCTAAAAATGCAAGAATTTTCAAATTTACTATTACCTTCAATTAAAAGTTTTGCGCCCAAAATGAATAATATCCAAGGAGTCTTGTTTCTATTAGAACCGCCCATATACACCATACTATTTTGAATTGTTTGATGTAACAAATGAAAGAGGCTAAATAAAAATTTGCCATCATGCATATTCTCTTCCTCAGCACTATCCGTCACATGTGGAGGGTTCTGATAGCATAAATCGTCCTATTAAAGGATAGTAATTGATTTCATTTAATTATATTATTTTTTTATTAAAAAATATATTAATTTTTTATGTGAATTGATAGATAAACATTAGACTCATTGATATTTTCAGACATCCGTGGATTAAATGGGCAGTTAATCACAATTTATAATAGAATTGAGCTTTCTTTCTTGATAGTTGGTTTTTTAAAATGAATCACTCTAATTTATTTAATAAAAATATCAATTTTAATATTACTTTTTGGTCACAAGCGAACAATGTAGCGGTGATTTCTCCTCTCTCTTCAAAATTTATATTGATAAGATCGATTTTTAATGCCTCAATTTTATAATTAGACAGCTTTAAACAAAACCTAACCACACAAGTCTTCAACTAACAATGTGATTGTTGCTAGCTAAATCAATCATTCATCACATAATAAAATACATTAGCTAAGAAATCACAATCAGAAACCAACAGCACATTGTTACGAAGGGGGGAAGAGAGAGAGAGATATATATGACACTTTGGTTTCTAGTAACTTTGGTTTCTGTTGTTTGAAGGGATGGGCAGTGGTAGATGCACCGGTGGTGATCGTTGTCACATTCAATCAAGGAATGTTCAATATGCCAGGTGGTGCCCATGACATATGACACTATAACCAGCTAAGATTTTAATATTAACCAAAAATGAATAAATAAATCTATGAAACTTGATACTCTTTTTTTTCCCGAGGAATAACTTGATTAGTTTTAATCATGGGTTTTGTTCAAAATCCTATAATTTGAAAGGGGATTGAGGAGACAAGCGTAAGTACTAGCCACTCTTTTAGTTATATAACTTCAATCAAGATGTATTACTCCTTTATATTCTATCCAAAGTAGTATCTGACTTTTCTTTCTTTTCCCTTTTCTTTCTTCTCGGTGTTGTTATTGTGGTTGCTATTGTCATTGTTATTGGATCGGGGTTTTTAAGATTATTTTTAGAGAAAATTGTGTCAAGACCCCAATAATAATAACCTCGTATGACCTGTTCTTCCACTTTCCCCCCTTGTGGATCAGACCTAAAAAACTACATTTTCTGTGTCCGCGCCCCTCCACATCAGCCATATAGAATAAAAGATATTGTATTTTATAATAAAGCCTAAATTGTCATTCTCCTTCTTTCCCAGACGTAGCGCCCACATCAATACTTTCTATGAGTGAAAGTCAGATCCCATTAATGGCGATCTCATGGAGGAATTGGAGGGAAATTTCCCCCCATTTTCTCCATCATGAGCAATAACTCTCTATTTAATTGTTTAGGGTTTTTGCTCTTTAATACTCCTCTTGCCCTAAAATTCTCTCCATTACTCGTTCTACCTTTCCTTCATAATGGCTGAGAAGGCTATTATCTGCATAGTCTCCTCAAGTGATAAAACGGTTTTCTTAAAGATTAATTCTTCAACCACCATTATAGAACTCAAATTTAATGTGTCAGAGAGGTTAAAACTTCTATATGATTCTTTATCGTTGGCATATAAAG